GGTAACAAATAAGGTGACAAATATATGATCACTTAACCTAAAAAGTTCCACCCGTAATAGTTTTACATTGTTGAGCAACACCAATAGATTTTTCGTTCTATTGCTTGGTCACGTGACTAGTTATTAACTAAAAACTTTGTACCCTGTTTGAGAAGAAAACACAATGATGGTAAAACTATTAATTTTTAAATTTCTTGCAAGACGATCTTCTTGTAACATGTTTTAAATTTTGCGTATTCTGAATAAAATCCGTCCAACGAGAGGTAAAAGCTCACGTGACAACCTTTATGTATTCATAAAATCTATTATAAACAAGTCAGTGAATGTTGCGTCATATTATTAACAGTTGTTTAACCAAATTAGCAACACGTCGATAGCAAGGTGTCGTAAAAGGTCTTTGCAAAATAGCTTATTCATCGGCCGAAATTCCTTCTTGGGCTACTTTCAACTCTGAAAAATCTGCAGAATTTCGAAGTTCAGGATTTTGCTAAGTCCAAATCGAGTTCGTCTAGGTCGCTATGCTGCATTTATTGTGATAATTATCTCTATCCCGACCAAAGCTTTTAGACAGAGCAATTCAAGGGATCATTCTTTTCCTCAAATATGCTATAGTCTTGACTTTGCTCGTACTGGCTCATGGCTACACTGACTTCATATACAGTAGCTTTTATTGTCAGATGCCTGACACAGGCCTGATCCAGTCGCAAACCAAACCTGTCTAATTTCTCGTGCACTGATTGGCTCATGTTTATCATCAATAAGAGTACAGAAAAATAAAATTTTAATTTATGCAAGCTTTCAAGTTCAACTTTCAGCTGTCAAACTGTCAACTTTTTAACCAATGAGATTTTATGGACTTTTTTAAGTAGCGAATCAAAACGCGAGAAAAGCTATTAACAATGTTCGCGTCATTTTGATTAAAATTCTTTTATCTTTCTTTACGGCAAGTTTACAGCGTCTTTTCCCTCATTTATTCCTGGCATTTGACCATTTTGGGGTCTTGTTATTGCAAAAAAACAAATTGACGTCAGTTTTTTTATGCGTCTGTCCTCTTATTATTGAAAATTTTTCGTCATAAAATTGTCAAAGTTCACTGCGGAACCACTCGCCTACGGCTCGTGGTTCCACGGCCACTTTGACAATGTTATGACCAAATTTATTATCAATAAGAGGACAGACGCATAAAAAACTGACATCAGTTTGTTAAATCGATATCGAGGCTACTACGCCATGTGACTATTTCTCAGGCCTATATGCTACTCGCTCTCGAACGATCCATAGCAGTCGTATGGAAAGTCTGGGTTTTTCCGATGTGTTTGTATCGTAATGGAGAAGAAATTCGTTGCCGGAAATACCATCATCATCAAAACTTTCGAGGAGGTTGCGTATCTCTCTAAAGGATGCCATACTTTCACTAAAAA